ATTTATGCATTTTCAAATGTTATCCTAAGAAGGGGTCCGTATGCTTCACCAGATTGCCAGAGGATTCTAGACTGCACAGAAAAAGGTCAAGAACCCATCTGGTTCAGTGAAGGCATAAGCACCATAGCCAGACAGGCTTGGCTTCCAATCCAGGCTCTGCCAATTTCTAGCTCTTTGCCTTTGAAGAAAACGATTTAAACTCCCTAAGCCTTGCATTGCCCCATCTTGACCAAGGGAACCCATACAGAAACACCACCACATGAAACCATCCATTCATCGAAGCATTAACTGAACACCTACTTACTTCGTGCCAGGTAAAAGGCTGCATGCCTGGGCTACAGTAATGAACATGACAGATGTGGTCCTTCAGCATTTCATTCAGAAGGTCATGCTATGTAAAGTGTTTAACAGTGACTGACACATAAGCAGTCTATAAACACTGTAGTATGATACTACTGCTAAAACCACATTTAGTGTTTAATTATATGTTGATTTACATTGCCTCCCATAAGCTTGGTTCACCTAGCTTATGCCCTCCCAACAAGGCTCCGTGGCTTGGGCATCATACTCAAGTCGGTAGCTTGTTAGATGGAAGAACACAGGATTTGGAACCAAATGGTCTTAGCGTCAAAACCCTGCCCTGCCACCTGCTAGCTCTGAGACTCTGCCAGAGACCAGTAGCTGTCCCCCACAAAATCCGTTCTCTCCTTCCTCTACCATAACAGAGCCCCTACATTTTAGCTGAGCACATGGACACTCAGAATTAACAATAATATTTCCCAGCCTCCCTTGCAGCAAAGTATGGTCATGTGATCAAGTGCTAGCCAATGTGGATGTAAGCAGAAGTGATGTGTGCAATTTTCCAGGCAGCGTCCTTACATGAAGAGGGCCTGCCCTTCACTGACCCTTTTCCTAGCACAGCCATCTTGGACCATGAGATGACCTTGGGAATGGAGGCATGCACATGGAACAAGATAGAAGGAGCTTAGGTCCCTATCATTGTGGAGCACTATTTCTGGCTGGCACAGTCATCTGCCTCAGGCGAGTTCCTTAAGCTCCCTGGACCTCCATATCCCCATCTACAAAAAGGTGATAACACCACGTATTTGCCCAGCAAGGCCGTTTTGTGGACTTCACGAGATAGGGCTTGCTTCAGAAAAAGAGCTACAGTTAGGAGGGGTGATATTACTACTGTTCTCCTTCTGCTGCTGCAATGAAAAATGTTGGAAATTGAGACTCTTACCACCACCCTGGGGGCCCAGAGCTGGCTCAAAGATTCCCACAGTTGAAATGCATCCTAGCCATGCTAGTTCTCCAGATAAGAATTCCCTCCTCCGGCACCCTTGTCTCATGGTCCCCAGGAAAGGGAAGGGCACTACCTCTGGGGCAACTGTTGGGACAGGGGTGTTTGTTTACCCATAAATCACGGTCCTCATCCTCTTCCTTCAGCACCCTTCCCCCGACAGCAGACAAGCAACCTCACTTCTCTCTCTCTTCCTTCTCTGCCTCAGATCACTGCAGTCCTGCCTCTGCGCTCACACCCACCAGGACATCCAAGTTCCTTTCCATCTCTTTGGAAGCACCTTCTGGCCTCTCACTCAAAAAGGCTTCCCTAATGAACTGGGAAAAGAGTGATCACTTCTCAAGTCCCATCCTATTCAAACAGGAGGCTTCTCAAACCCTACAGATGAAATTCTCTCCCACTGGCGAAGAATACAAATGGTCGTTAGCCCATCAACAAGTTCTCCTGCACAAATCCAGAGATGTCCCAATCTCCTCCATTTTTCATTGCTAACACTTTTAAAGCTATTTCATCTTGTTTGCGGCATCAGCACTGATCTGGGAGGCATAACTCTTCATGGCAATGCAAAATTGAAATTTGCTTTATGTGCCTAAAGCTTATATTCATCTTTCCTGATGATTCCCTTCCTGTTCCTTGCAGACACAAATCCTATTGTCTCTCCCACATTGTTGTCATCTTTCTGTGTCACTGTCACTCACACAGGCTGCTCTCAGGCACAGGCTCAACCACCTCTCCTGTATGCATTCCCCTTTTTTCCCACTCACACCATACTCATACCAGTCTCCTCTCTCTCTCTCTCTCTCTCTCTCTCTCTCTCTCTCTC